GGGGTTTAATGTCACGAAATCTATCAATAAAATATCTAAAAAAAACATAAAATGCTAAAACAATATGAACAGTAAATCGACATAAATAACCAAGTGAAAAATTATGTAAAAACAGTTAGACATAGGTTATGAGGTCCTTTAACTAGTCTAATAATTTAGAAAACCAAAGGAAACGATCGTCACCAATGAATAACTGGTTAAAGTAGTTAAGTAGTAATTTAATCAATTTTGTATTATGCACGTAAGTTTTAACTCGGCCAACCTTAAAACCGACCCTTTATAAGAAAATATGATACATTTATTATCAATGTATGTTGCATTTTAAAAAATATGCAAAGGCTAATTTTTATTTAAATTCTCTAAACTCAAAAGAGACGCTTAACATGATATATAAAATTAAGAATTATTCTGAAACATTAGTATGACTGTTATAACATATGGCAAGTGCATTTCTTACTTAAAACTTGAAAAACTGGCTAACATGATATCGTCTTGTCAATTGTACCAATATATCAAACCAGCGCAATAAATTTTTATTTGTCGTGTGGATAACGAGACGATGTTACAATTCATTTTAGAATCACGTGGATAAAAATTCTACTTTACTGTTACAACTCTTTAAACAAAATGCCACCAAACGAAAATACCAATAATTTTCTTCTCATTTTATCATATATACATAAACCGCGACCTATAAACGTTCCCTACACAATGGTCTTGTAAAATTTAAAAAAAAATTAATGGGGTGAAAATATTTTATTGGTGTCTAGGCATCATAGAGGCCCCCCGCTTGGAAAGTTGGGCAACGTTCTCCAGTCTCCTTGAAGTTTAAAATCTGCCCATATAAGTCCTCCTTGTTGACTTCGACCCGTTTACACAGGTTTTTTATAATCCTAGCTATATGGACGTCAGGCCTTCTTAGGTGTTTACAAGCAGACGGATAATTCTAGTTTGAAGCGATCCATCATCTAGCGGTTATCCTAAGATGTTTTTCAACTTTTTTTGTACCAGAAGAAACGATGATCTTTTATCAATCGTTGTAAAAAAGAGCCCATACGTCCTTATTACCAACATTTTAAAAATCCTCTTTTTGTTAAAACCACGTTTATATACATATGTATGACGTATTATATGATGCATTATATATAAAGCATAACTGTTTATGGAAAGAAACTACATCATCTACAATACTAAATTGAGCAAACTTAAATGATTTACATCAATTCAGAATATAATCAAGTTTTATATTATTATGCAAGAATAGTAATACCACAAGTGATGTGGAGATGTTCACAAATATCAATAAATAAACGGTTTTGGTCAGATAATAGAAAGACAACCAAAACGAACGTCAATGGGAACAATTGGTGTTCACCAAAAGTTATTCAGATATTTAGAATATATTCAGATATTTCGTGGAGAGCAGAAAAAAGGTAATAAAATAGATAATTAATAAAAAATAATTAAGCCCTCGTAGAACTATTTAACAATGCACATTAATTAATTAAACGATGAAAAAATAAATGTAGAATCACTTTAAGCAAATATCTCAAATTAAAATTAGTGTCGTAAAATTGATGCACGAAGATAAATAATATTAACCGATTGCAAAAAGGCTGTAAAATAAATTGTGAATTATTTTAATTACAAAATATCGTCTAGCCAGAATGATCGTCATTCTTGTGTCTCGAAATATTTCATACTCACCTATTTTTAAATTTTCAGTTGGTCAAAATGTTAAAAACATTTTAGAACAGCCATAATTTATCAAGTAATTTAGCACATTAATATATTAAAAGTAAAGGATCGAAAATTCTACGGCCATCGAACAACAGTACGGAAGAATTGATTTTCCTTCCTCGGTTGAGGGAAAAATTAGTTCACCAGTGACATTTCTAAATTTATAAAAGGTTTTCCTCATACTAACGAGGTTAAAATTGTTGAATATGTTTTTCCCTTCACAGAACAAAAGGCGTTAAAATCATCATATGGATAAATACGTAGTCCCTATATAGCCTTATAAATAAAAAGTATACGCTCTGCCCCGGCAAGGGTCTCATTTTTTCAAAACTTAACTTTCCAATTACAAAACAGGAATTATATGAAAAATCGTTTAATGTTTTATTTTTATTTTTTTAACTGGTCAGTGCTACCAATTGAGAATGTATATTTATTTATTTACAGGAATATGAATCATATTATAATATCAAATTATAATAGTAATTTCAAATACGTGTCAATCCCTGATATAATCAGAAAATTGTGTTATTTTTCCGATTACAGCCCGCATTCTGAAATTGTTAAATGTCAATTTGTTGTTACATTTTTTTAATATCAAGTATATGTACATTGATTATACTGTACAATTTTACCATGTATCTTTCTTAAACGCATGTTAAAACACGTTTCTATCCCGGAAGAAAATCACAGTTTTTGTTTTTCGATATTATTTATTTTTATTTTTTATTATTTTTTTTACGAGGGTTCGCAACAGCAGAGGTCATATAAACCCTCAGGGTGCAGGTGTTTTTGAAAAAAAGCCAATTTGTAAGTATGTCGGGTTGGAATGCAGGGCCGCTGGATTCGAACCCTGGACCTTTACCTTACAGTGATGAGCACCGTGTCAACGCCTAAACTGTTGCGGCAACCGACGCCCCCTTTCGATATTAAACTTGACCCCTATCAAACTGAAAACTAATGGCAAACCAAATTTTAAAATGCCTTCCATGCTGAAATTTCATTTCTGATTGTTGCAGATGCAGTTATGATAGTTAACACCAATGTACAGTTGTTTAGATATATACAAGTTCTTCTTATTATTTATTATGATAAATAAATTTCATTTCGTTCTCGATCAGCCTGGTTTGCGTTTGGGTGTTCATGTACAAACATACGTTTGTAATATGTCAAAGAACCTCGGTAGTGTTACATTTCTTGTGAGGTGTGTTATTTTATCGGTTATAATTTTAGAATGTATAATTGATATATATAGCTAACTTAGGAAAACCCTACCAAAGCTCGAAAAATCCACATTTCGAAATGTATAGTGATTCCATTATGAGAATACAGGGCACAATATAATTACTTCAAATTGTAGTGTTATAATTAATCCTTTGAATATTCAATTTTCGTTAGTAGACATGTAATATTAGAAAAATGTTACAAATGGCAAAATTGATGAACAATCAAGACCACTTCCTAAGTTCAAAGTCAAAAGGTTTTCGAATACTTTAATATCAACGATAACCATGACTTAAAATAATACGGTTATAAAAGAATATTAATGATTTAAAAAAATAATAATTTGGCCCACTTTTCCAATTATACTCTTTGTTCGTAATTTTTATCACTCTTGCCTTAATTTATTTCATTTACATAATTCATCGAAACACTATCTATTATGGCCGAAGTACTATACAGGGTGTCCTTTTTAGGTGGCCCGGCTGACTTTCTCTTGAACCAATGACGCTAAAAGTCGAACTGAGCGTTTTTCTCCAAAAAAGAGAAAAATTTGAAACTAGACTAAAAAATATTATACACGTATTTTTTGTTTTTTAATTGTGCCATTGGTTCAAGAGAAATTCAACCGGCCAATCTAAAAAGGACACCCAGTATATCATTTACCGATACATCGTTTACAGACCAAACAAAAAAATAAAATTTCTTTTATCGAAACAACTTATTAAGTAGCATACTAAATTAGCAAACTTGATCAACGATCAAAAACACTTCATTAAGTCCAAAAGAAATTTTTTTTGTATATTTTAATTCACGCATCAAAGTTATACTTGGAAATATTACAGATTTACAAAAAATTGTGGATAATGTGGATCTTATTTTCAGTTTTACTCTTTATAATTTGTTAAATCTTGCCCTAATTTATTATTATTTTATTGGGTCATTGTTATTTTATCAAGGCACTTTCTATTCTTCCAGAAATGTGTACCATTAATTGGTTCTTTCACGGAAAAAACATTACCAGAGGCAAATTTGGTCTACTTTAACATCAGGCTTCGAAGTTATACTTAGGAATATTAACATTTACAAAAATATGGTTAATTCGGCTGTTTTTTGTTTATTTAATTTTTTATACAAATGATATTTTTGGAGATTTGATCAAACCTGTCCAAATTTATTATTTATCGGCCATCTTAGAATCCCGTTTCTCTGCCAGCTAAACTGAAGAAAAAGGGAAAAAAGCAAACCTATTCAAAAATCAAGATCACACCCCAAAGTTAAAATGAAAAGTTTTACCAGTTTTTATATAATTATTCATTTATAATTAGTATTCTCTACACAGTTTTATATATTTGTTTTTAATTGTTCCATGCGAAAAATTTAACTTATGAAGATAAACAAGCATTAACATATGAAACGCTCCATTATTTCACATGAAATATTCTCTAGTTTATTTGCAACATAGCACACAGCTGCATAATAGGCATAACAGAAATGTATTAAGAATTATTCAAAATCTGCCTATGAAAACGCAGTTTAATCTTGTTCATCTAGTTATTGAGTCTTATTTTGATCAATCGCGAACATGCATGCATTAAACTGAATATAAAACATGTTTTCATGTATTTTCACATTCTTTTCAAGTTAACACACGTTTTTAACCCGGTAAAACTATCGTAACTTTGTTCTTCCCTAGCTAGATCTTAATCCCGGATTCTATAAATATACCATATTGTTCATTGGCAAGGGATCATCAACGCACCATCTCTAACGATTCTTACTTTAGCGTCTTTAACGGTTTTTTTCTCGCATTGTTTAAAATAAAATGGAAGATGTGTGATTTTTTCACTTTTTTGTTCTTTTTAAGAGGTTATGTTTTGGATTTATTACTACGGCCTTATTTATGTCTTGTGATAAGGGTTTATTGGAGAAATTGGGGTTGGTTTGCGAGTGCAATTCTCGGCTCAGAGCCCACGCTCGGCGCCGAATTTAACATCAATCGTAAAAACGATAAATAATTGTAAAATAAATTTAAAACTTACATCATAAGGCGTGAGACTAAGGCGGTTAACATTTTCACGATATATCCGTCACTAAATACAACCAGGGAGCCTGTCCGGAGTTAAGAAGCCGAGGTGCAAACTTAAACTGAATTTCTCTCCGGAGCCATCTTTGTTACAACTAGTGACGTGTTTTGTTTTGGTCACGTGACCCACGGCGGCCGGGTGGTGGGGCGGTGCTCTTGAGGGGGGGTCGCCAGTACGGAGGGGGGGCGCGCAGGCGAAACCGAGTCGGGCCGCTCGCGAAGAAGGAGTCCGAGCGAGCAACGGGTCGGAAACCGTCCGCGGCTTCAACTCAGTGCCGAGAAAGGGAAAAAAATTATTCTTACAAAAAATATTAAAAAAAGGAGGGAATCTCTTCCTGTGCTTATTTAGCTGTGCTCTTCCGGGATTAGTGCTTGTGCCCCGTCCCGAGCCGAGATGGCCTACAAAATTCGCGAGGAGCTCGTCGGGAAAAGGTTCCTGTCAGTGAGTGCATACAAAAATAATGTGAAATTGGGGAAAATCAGTGATTGGTGTTGGAAGGCTGGAGTTATTCGTGCTGCAACACACAAGGATAACACAAATAAAGATCTACAGGTACAAGAAACAAATTATACATTTTTATTAAAAATTATCTATTATTAATAATTAATTTCTTGATCTATATTGTAAAAATTGATTCAGGTTATGAAAACGACAATTGCTATTTAAAACGAATTTTAAACGGACTGCTTCGCCCCCTGAAAATTGAAATTTTCGCGCTCAAACTCTCCTGCCCACCTTTGACCTAAATTTCAGTCAAATTAGTGTATTCGCGCAATAGTCTTGATAATAATATCAATCATATCCGATAATATTGATTGTATCTGTTAGGATATCAAAAGATATAATCTTATTTAAAAAGGAAGATTATATTGCTACACCTGTTAAGATTATCTATAATTGGCAAGACTGATTTTCATCAGTAGTGTGAACCCTTTCACAGTTGCAGTTAATCAAATATTGTCGTAAGATTGTCACAAATCGAGGCTGAAACGTGGAATATATTGTGAATTTCTAGCAGAAGAAGAAAGCTCAGGTATTTTCTTTGTAATATAATTAAGATGGTTGATTGTTTTTGGTGGTTTTCTTCAAAATATATATCTTTAACTATGTGATTCCTCTATGTCATTATCGAATGATCTATGACAACCAAGTGTAGGTTTTCGCGCTCAACTACGATCTATTGAAGAAGGTCTATGATATCGGTGATTGATTATTGAATATTATAGAATTATGAAACAGAAAAATTACAACTTTTCAATATGCAATTAAAATTATGTATGACAACCAAGTGTAGGTTTTCGCGCTCAAACTCTCCTGCCCACTTTTAACCTAGGTTTCAGTCAAATTGGTGTATTGTCGCAATATATTTGACATAATATCAATCATGTCTGATAATATTGATTGTACCTGTTTGTATATCAAAAGATATAATCATATTTAAAAAAAGAATATTATATTGCTACACCTGGTTGATTACTTATAGTTGGCAAGACTGATTTCCATCAGTAGTGTGAACTCTTTCACAATTATAGTTAATCAAATATTATCGTAAGATTTTCGTAAATCGAGGCTGAAACGTGGAGTATATTGTGAATTCCCAACAGGAAGAGGAAAGCTCAGGTATTTTCTTTTCGTAATATAATGAAGATGGTTGATGGTTTGTGGTGTTTTTTCTTCAAAAGGCATGCCTTTAATTATGTGATTCCTGTATGTTATTATCGAATTCGGCTATGATCTATTATACAAGTGTTTATGATATCTATGATTGATTTTTCAATATTATAGAATCATGAGACCTGAGAGATTTTTTAAAATTACGACTTTTCAATATGTAATTAAAATTATCTAAACAAGAGTTGGTTTTCGCGCTCAAACTATCCTGCCCACGCTTAACCTAGATTTCAGTCAAATTGGTGTATTTTCGCAATAGTTTTGAAATAATATCAACCGTGTCTGAATTTAATATTGATTGTATCTGTTCATATATCAAAAGCAAACAATATTAAAAAAAAGAACATCATATTGTTACACCTGGTGAAGGTTATACATTTTGTAACATTGGCTACTGTTTTCCATCAGTAATTTGCTATCTTACAAAATTACATCAGAATAGTACTGTCATAAGATTATTGCAAATCAAGGCTGAAAGGTGGAATTTTTTGTGAATTGCTAACAGGAACCACAATAAAAGAAAAACTCAGGTATTTTCTCGTCATGTAAGCAATATGTTTGATTGATTTGTGGTTATTTTTCTTCGGCAGATAAACCTTTAATTGTGATTTCTGTACGTCATTATCAAACGCGACTATGATCTATTCAACAAGGATGATTATTCATTACTATAGAAGCATATATCTTAAGATATTGTTTAAAATTAAAACTTTTTGATAGTTAAAAGGATGTAGTCACAAAGCGAAGTGTAACACTTTGGTTTCGCGCTCAAACTATCCAGCCCAGTTTTAACCTAGATTTCAGGCAAATTTCACCTGATATTTTTTACAATAATATCATCAACTCGTACTGAATCGGCACTTTGGCACTTACTGGGTCCTTCTTCAATCGCGGTTTATCTTAATAGTTTCTAGGTGATATTTGTTTTGTATCATTTTTTTTTTTTTTCAGTGAGTGGTTTGATTGTGCGTTTATGATGTCTGTTGCGGTGGGTTTTTGTGTATATGTGTGCATAACCTGTAATTCTTTCAGGTTCTGATGGGCGTAAATTTCAAGAATATGGTGAAGGAATATTTTTGTGTATATCGTTACGGTCCCCAAGTACGTTCTCAGAGGAGTAGTCTGTTATGACGAATAAGTTGTTGACGTGACTACTAGATAGAGTATTACGTTAATTTTTGGGAAGTGCTTCTCTTCGGGGTTTGGTGAAAGACCTGCAAGAATGGCTGATGTTTCCCCATCCCTAGACCGTCTTGTAGGGTGTGTACTTTTCTTCTATAGGTTTTGTTATTTGTGTTAGTTCTGACGCGAATGCGTTGTCGCATTTTTTAGTTTTTGTTTTATTTTTTATATCTGTGGTGTGTGTATGTGCGTGCGTGCGTGCGTGTGTGTGTGTGTGTGTGTGTGTGTGTGTGTGTGTGTGTGTGTGTGTGTGTGTGTGTGTGTGTGTGTGTGTGTGTGTGTGTGTGTGTGTGTGTCTATCTGTCTGTCTGTCTGTCTGTCAGTGTGTCGATAGTCTCTGTGTCTGGGATGGATGGATACAAGTTTGTTTTGTCAAAGAAGACTAGTCTGGCAGTTGGGGGATTGTTAAATTGTTGGTTTTGTTTATCAGGTCTATTGTGTTCTCAACAAAAAATGAGTTTCTTAATTTTAGGCCGGATTTTAGAATATCTGCAACTACTGATAGTTTGTATACAGGGGCTGGCCTATAGTTTGTCTGATGGGAATATTAGGTTTATATATTTTTCTTTAGTTGAGTAAGGTTTGAGGTTTAGGATTCTATTGAAAGTATTCGTATGTTTCTTTGTGGTTGATGATTATAGGGTAGTTGTTTAATAATTTTTAATCTATTTTTGGTGTTTTTGTGTAGAATCTCTGTTGCTCCGGTTTTGTACAAATTATAAAGTTTTTGTAATGTAGTATGTTTTGTCATGATGACTGTAGCGTCGTTGCCTTTATGCTACTTGAGTCGTTAGTTATTTTTTATTTATATTTTTACTAGTTTTTCTTCTAAGTTAGTTTGTACTGGAGAAAGTTGTGACATTATTTTGTCAATTGTGGTGGTTTCTAGGTGACTTATTCATTCTTGTATGTCCACAGGTAGGAATCCAATTGTTGTTTATCTGTCTATTATGGCTTGTGTTATGTTACTTTCACTTGTGTTTGAGTTCTTTTTGTAATAGTTTAATAGTTAGCGTAAGTTGGAGTTAATTGTTAGTGAGATATTGTTTGTTACACCAAATGTTAGTGATAGTGTCGTATAGCTTGTTAGTTTCATGAACATACCTTTCAAGTAACGTAGACTGACGGATTGCGCAGTATTGATGATGGGTTTTGTATTTATAAACTCAAACTGTTGATAACTCAAACTGAACCGACACTGGGTCACTTATTGGGTCCGTCTTCATTTGTGGGTTATGTTGTATCGTTGGAAACACTGATTTCCATCATAACTTTATGTTATTACACAATTCAAGAGCTAATAACTCATATTAGATTATTGCAAATCAAACTGAAAGCTTACTTTTGAATTTCTTACAACTACAATAAAAGAAAACCCAGGATTTTCCCGTCATTTAAGATGTTTGCTTGTTTCTTGGACAATAACTTACGCTTTTCTTCAAATCAGTTATTTACTCACCATTTTGTTGATATATAATACTGCAAAGGCCCTACTAAAAACATGTTTAAATTGTTAACTAATATATCAACATAAAATCGTAAATTAAAAAGTCAATTTTGTTAATTAATACATTTCGACCTCAACAGTTTAACTTGTGATTTTTCCTTCTTGAAGGTGGGAAAATAGGTCATCTCAGAAAAACCACAACCAGTTTTTATCCACACGTTTCGGATTTATTTTAATCCTTCCTCAGGTGAGTTAACGCCTGTACACAGATGATGGTTGTACCTGGTTTTAACCATTGTAAGTAGTGACAAAACAATAATAACTATGTTGATCTAAAAATGTAAAAAATATTTGTTCTATGTATAGGCGTTAACTCACCTGAGGAAGGATTAAAATAAATCCGAAACGTTGTGGATACAAACTGGTTGTGGTTTTTCTGAGATTACCTATTATCCCACCTTCAAGAAGGAAAAATCGAAAGTTAATTAATACGTTACAATAATTAAAATGAGATTAGCAAAAGGCCAAATGTAATCTTTTACCATGGATATTATTTAAATAATATGTACATGTTTCTTATCGTTGGCAACACTATTTTTCGTAAATAAGTAGTTTTAGTTTATAATCTTATTCAATTTCAAACGTTAGAACAGTATGTAACGACTCTGGCCTACTTTTGCACTTGAATACAAGCTATATGAATGAATAATTTACATTAGTAAATAAAGAGAACAGTTCAACCCTCGATCGGCAAGAAAAACTTTTCTTTGGTTTGTTTGATGATCTCAACTGGTTCGACTCCTATTCTTTATAGGAGTCACTCTTCCAAATCAATAACATACAATAGAGGTCTTGAAAACGAATGATTCTCATTAAATTATCTGCACGAAATCGAACATCTAAACGCAAAATTATTTCCTTAAAGTCGGTAACACTTTTACTTGTCAGTGGTATGGTTTTAATTGGGCATATATTAATATTATTAACAAGCGTTGTGTTTAAATTATTTGCTTATAGTCGAGACGAAAATGCTATCTTTTATTAACTAGATACCATAACAAAATTCGGGTATTGCTTTTTAAAAAAATTTTTGGGGAGCCATTTCTTGCCAGATTTTCTTTTGAATACCGAAGGATATCATTTCTTTCGAATAAATGTAATAGAGTTCATTCTTTTTACTGTTCAAACTCATATTACGACCAAACCATTCCTTACAATTTCCAATGAGATTTTTTTTAATATAGTAGCAGTT